ATTCTCTCGCACCTGGAATCTTCAACAAACTCAAGTCTCCATCATTTATCGGGTTTCGATAAAATGATACTTCAATTCAATGTGCTTACATCTCGGAATGAAGGATTGGATTTTTAGCAAGACAAATAGCACTTTGATCGTCACTAAACAACGGAGAACCATCTTGTTCTCTTCCTAATTCTTTTAGAAGGTTCTTCAACCATATCATCTCCTTCGCCGCTTCGAGATAGCTACATACTCGCTTCAGTGGTTGAGAGAGAGACCCTTCCTTGAAGTTTAGACTTCCAACCGATAGCTGTACCACCCAATGTAAAAATATAACCTCGTTGTGCTCTTTCTACCGTCAAGATCACCTCCCAAGTCTCGCATCGAAAACCCCGTAAAATGAGATTACTTCTCTTGAAAGACAAATGCATCTTTGAAGTGCCTTTCAAATATCTCGAATATCCACTTCACTCCTTCCCAATGCTCCTTTCCGGGATTTGATAGAAATCTGCTCACAACTCCCACCGCATGTGCTATGTCCGGTCCGGTGCAAACCATAGCATACATCAAGCTTCCTACCGCAGATGCATATGGCACTTTAGACATGTGACTTTCTTCTTCTTCTCGTTTGAGAAGATTGCCTCTTTGAAAACTTTAAGTGAGTTCCCAAAGGTGTATTCCCGGTTTTAGCATTCCCAACATTGAATCTCGCTAAGCAATTTTTCTATATATTTTTCTTGAGATAAGTTCAAAATACCTTTATCTCTATCTCGGGAGATTCTCATACCAAGAATTTGCTTGGCTGGACCAAGATCCTTCATTTCAAAGCTCTCCGACAATTGTTTCTTCAACTTGTCAATTTCTCGCCATATTAGCTCCAACAATCAACATGTCGTCAACATATAAGGCAAGAATGATATAGCTATCAACATATTTCTTCACATAACAACAATGATCTTCTTCACATCTCGCGAAATCCCGAGTTTCTCATAAACTCATTAAACTTCTGTACCATTGTCTCGCGCTTGTTTTAATCCGTACAAACTTTTATGAAGCTTGCATACAAGATTTTCTCCGCCTTGTACTTCAAAACCTTTTGGCCGTGTCATAAAAATTTCCTCTTCAAGATCCCCATGTAAGAATGCAGCTTTTGACATCTAACCGCTCCAAATGAAGATTTTCTCAGCTTACTATACTCAAGATAACTCGATGGTAGTCATCTTGACAACAGGAGAGAAAATTTCTGTGAAGTCAATTCCTTGTCTTTGTTGGAACCCTTTCACTACGAGTCTAGCCTTATATCTTTTGTCGCCATCCGGTTCTTCTTTCAACCTATAGACCCACCTGTTTTGCAAAACTTTCTTTCCTTCTCGGTAGCTTGGTTAAAGACCATGTTTTATTCTTCTCGAAGGGACTTTATCTCATCTTCCATTGCTAGCTCCCACTTAATAGATTCATCTCCCCGCATAGCCTCAAAAAATGCTCCGGCTCACCAAAGATCGACCAACAACAAATAATGCAATGAAGGGGAATACCTTTGTGGTGCTACAATTGTTCTCGCTAGATCTTCTAACCAAGATTTCGTGAGTTGCCGACTCTACTATTTGTTCAGTGTTCCGTCTCGTGCTCGACATAGGCTCTACTTGTATATTCTCGCCTTCTGTTGACTACATCACTTTCTCGAAATTTCTTCTAATGATACTTGCTCTAGCCGTTTATTTACATTTGCGGATTCTCGCAATCCCGTCTCTATAGAACATGTTTTCATTAAAAGTAACATTTCTACTTCGATAATTTTCTTGTTTTGGTCATCCCAAAACCCGTAGCCAAACATGTCGATCCATAACCAATGAAATAACAACGTTTTGCCTTAGGGTCCAATTTATCTCTACTATTAGAGTCTAACATAACATATGAAGCACAACCAAAAACTTTCGCATGTGAAAGATTTACCTCTTTCCGCACCATACTTCTTCGTGTAACTTATAGTCTAAAGGAACCGATGGTCCTCTCGTTTATGAGATAGGCCGTCGTGTTTATTGCATCCGCCCAAAATACCTTGGGTAATCCCGACTGGATTCTCATACATCTTGCTCTCTCATTCAAGGTTCTCGTTCATTCTTTCCGCCACACCGTTTTGTTCTCGGTGTTCCCGGAACTGTCTTGATCATTCTGATCCCATTCTCTCGAACAAAACTCCTTGAATTGACTACCGTCATATTCTCCACCATTATCGACTTCAAACATTTGACCTTTAAACCCGTTTGAGTCTCAACCTCCTTTTTCCACCTTTTAAACACAGAAAACACATCGATTTATTTTTAAGAAAATAAACCCATACCTTTCTTGTAGAGTCATCAATGAAGGTTACATAATATTGTGAACCTCCAAGGGATTTCACCGAAGCCGGCCCCCAAACATCCGTATGCACTAGTTCTAGTCTTTCAACTTTAGACGACTTACTTGTTTTTGAGAAGCTAACCTTTTTCTCGCTTTCCAAAGATACAATGTTCGCAAGGTCCAACGTCAACATGCTTCACGTTAGGTATTTTACCTTTTGATATCATGAGCTTCATTCCTTTCTCACTCATATGCCCAAGCCTCCGATGCCATAAGGAGGAATTGTTGCCAACTTCGCAACCGATATCATATCCTCATCTCGCAATCATGTAGAGAGATCCTTGCTTCTTTCCACGAGCAACAACAAGATTACCTTTCATTACCTTCCAATGTCCATCTCCAAAAGTGGTGTAATGTCCCTCATCATCCAACCGCCCTATAGATATTAAGTTTCTCTTTAAGGTTGGAATATGTCCGACATTATTCAAAGTCCACACGTTTCCATTAGAGGTTCCGATGTTAATATCACCTCTTCCTATGATATCAAGAGATTTTCCATCCGCAAGGTAGACCTTCCCAAACTTTCCGAAACATAGTTAGATAATAGTTCTAAGGAAGGTGTAGTATGAAATGACGCACCCGAGTCCATAATCCATGAGTCAATAGAATTATCTAAACTACATAACAAAGGCATCTTCAACTTCATCAGCTTGCCGCATTTGCCGATTGATCATCATCTTGCTTCTTGTTGTTGTTGTTGTCCTTCTTTGGAGCCCTACACCGATTTGAAAAGTGGCCCTTTTTCCGACAATTCCAACAAGTGATATCATTCCGGACTTTTGCTTGTGATCTCCCTCTCGGATTTTGATCTCGCCTCTGCCTTGATTACGACCTTTCGGCGACTTCTTCCTCTAGTTTCAAGCACTCAATGCCGAACTCGAATTAGAACCGAAAGATTCTATCGAATTTTTCTCGCGAACATCTTCGCTTAAGATCAAGTCACGGATGTTATCAAGCTTCAACTTGTTATTGCTTGCGTAATTACTTATCGTACAGAATAGCTTGCACCCCAACTTTCCGTAGAGATGATAATAAAATTAATGCTTTCACCTCATCATCAAATATTATCTCGCACCGATGTCAACCGCGCAATAATTGCATTAAATTCACTAATATGATTAGTAACCGAGTTACCTTCACCCATTTTGAGGTTGACTAGCCTCGCGAATCAAATGCACTTTATTGGTCAGCAGAGGGCTTCTCATACATATTTGACAACGCCTGCATCAAATCTACTGTTGTCTTCTCGTTCATGATGTTGAACGCAACATTCTTGGCTAATGTCACCGGATCACACCAAGCGTCTCGCCGATCTAACAACTCCCATTCTGATCGCTCCATGTCTGGTTGGCTTCGCCTCGTCAAGGGTAGATACAACTTCTTCCGATACGGATAATCTTCCATCTCGCATCTTCCGAACCCGAAGTCACCGCCATCGAACTTCTCGATCCTCACCTTTCCTTCTTCCAATGCCATCGCTCTCACCGCTTTCGAAGAAAGCTCCCACTCGCTTCTCTAAACCGAGATTCCCAAGAAAAAAGACCAAATCTTTTCCGATGTGGAAGATCGGACAAAGCCGCAACCACAGAGCATACTAAGAAAATTGGCTCTTGATACCAATTGTTAGGAACAAGACAATAATAAAGGAAAGAATGAAGGAGAGAAAAATAAACGACACAAGAATTTTAATGTGGTTCGGCTAAAATATGTATGCCTACGTCCACGACTACACTAGGAAGTAATTTTTATTTCTGTGTATATCTCAAACTTTACATAGGGTTGCTTATATAACAAAATAGAGAACCTCATCTCACAATCCTAATCGATGTGGGACTAAATCAAGCACCATAATACTAACACATTGCTCATGCTTATAATTTACGACCTTGTAGCTTAATTATTTACAATCACTAATTATGTAAGATAAATTACAACCTGAATTAATTTTATCTAAAAAGAACACAATTATGATAATTAGCGCAGCCACACATGCAAGTGCATGTTGTTTCTGAATAACCCACTAAATTACAGTGACTGATAGGATTCGTATTTATGATATCAAGGTTAAATTATTTTACACCTTAAGATTTTTTTTTTATCTTTTTTTTTTTATGAAAAATATCTTCTCATAATGAATCTTTTTCAAGCATGCTGAATATCACCTAACCTTCGTCGTCTATATTTTTCTGCCCACAATGTCGGCATCATGTTTTCAGACTTCGATTGAAAGGAATAGATGTGAAGTTTTGATAACAAATTATTAAAAGTTTAATTATTAACAAAACTTAATTAATAAATTTTCAAGTATTTTTAATTTTATTCTTTAATCAGTAATATCTTTGAAATACTTTTTTACAACATTTTTGCATATTAACCAGGGTTGTTGAATTGTGATAACTTGAACTGTAATATACTAGTAGTTTCATGTAGGTGGGAAATTTCATAGTCAAAACCCAAAACCAAAGAAGGTTTGGTTACCCCAAAAAAAGTCATTGAGATGCAACACGAATTATTTTATTTTATTTTATTTATTTATTTATTTAAAGTGGTGCAACTAATCAAGAAAAATAAAAAGAAGCAAGGAACACTGTGCGAGTGCTAGATTAACGTGTCACGTGCACACGTGCCATGCCATTTAGTTCTTCGGTGCATCGTTTCTCATAAACAACAACGAACCGCACGAATTGCGGGTTTGATCCTCCTATTTCACCCACGCTCTTTAACGTCACGTGCCTCAGATCAAGCCACGCGGACACATGACTGCACGATTTATGAAACCTGAAGCCGCTCTAACGGAGTTATCAGTACACGTGCACTGTTTAGCGCGTGAGTAAGAGAAATGGATGCATCAGTCTAAATCCCTGGTGTCTCTCTCCTCCGTGTTGGACGGCTCAGGCCTCGGTCTGGTCCCCACGACCGTGTTCTTGGTGGGGCCCACGTTCGAATTGCTTAAATGATATCGCTTTTCTATAAACCCTAACCCTAATCCTTGATACGCTATTATGACACAAACAGAACCAATGCACTGCATCAACGTTATTAAGGATATTTGATTTGACAGAGTTAACAACAAGAATTTAACCCTCTCTAGCAAAGGAAAATAATAATATTTTCGTAATAAGGTAGTTTTTAATTGTATAATCTTATTTTTAACTTAATTAATACTTCAAATTCAAATTTTATAAGTACATAATATATATATATATATATATATATATATATTATCATTATAGTCTTTAATATGCAAATATCTTAATTTAAAACGATATTATTTATTTATATCATTAACACATCTATTAATCCAAAATTGTATAAAGTTTGATTATTAAACTGTTGATTTTATGCTATGTTAATACATCAATTATATGTGATGTGCTAATAAAATATGACACCTTTTATAACTATAGTCGAGAGTTATGACTAGTCGTGATTTATATTATAGATGGCTTCAATCAATCAGGCTCTGTTATGTTCGGTCTTTTTCATTTTTCTTTTTTTAATTTATTTAATAGTGTTACATTTTGAAAGAAAACAAATTGTTCTTTGACAGTGTAGTTTATAAATAAATAAACAAATGTGCAGTCTTAGTTTCGAGATTGTGATGTGAGCAAAGTAAGAAGAAGCCAAAGTTTAAGATATAATATTTTGAAGTAAATCTTGTGAGAGATTTCTGATTTATATCTTGTCTTTTAAGTTAGGTTGTATATGGGACAAAATCAGCAACTCATATGCATATGCATCACCTCACTCACGACATGAATTTAGCTAAATCTTTCCTTTTGTGTCTTCCAAGTCAGTCACAATTGTTGAATTCCGCGGTTGGCTCACGGATTTTATAATTCATGTTTAAATTGTGATCTTAAATTTTGATATGTATGAGAAATTAAAGATGTTATAAAACGAAAATCAATTTGATGTTACATTATTGATCAATTAAAAATTATGTAAGGTGATTATAGTTAAACAAAAAAATAATTATATAATAATAATAATAATAATAATAATAATAATAATAATAATAAATTTGTTATTAAATGACTGTAAGTTATATACCTTATAATAATACCAATAAATACGTAACATTCGAAAAAAAATTTAGCTACTAATACTTAGCGAAGGAAAAGTTCAAAAGACTTGTTCCTACATTTGCTCTGGTGTAAATGAAACTAAATTTTATCTACATATGTTAGGTCTAGGTAAAATATTAATTTCTACCTAATTTATTATTTAAAAATATTATCAAATTTTATGTGATAATTAAAAAATACATTGCATAACTAATTTTATTGTTTTAATTATTAATATTTAAAAAAATTATTATAAAAATTCAAATTATTAATCTCTAAATCAATATAATAAGCCACTAATTCAATTAGAGACTAATTTAAAAACTTTTAAAAAATTTACTTTTAATCGTTGTATTTTTAAATTGATAAATTTCATTCTTTAATTTTTTTTAAAATATGATTTTATAATTTTTCTTTTGTACCTAAATGTAATATTTAATTATAATTTTTTTAATTTTGATGAAGTTGGTAAAATGACTATTTATGATTTTAATAATTCATTATACATAAATTTGATATATAGTCGCATTTTAAAAGTTGATAAAATATTAAATTTATATATTTATTTAATTTTAAGGACTAATTTATTAAAATTTAAAATATAAAGAAGAAAATCTATTTTTATTAAAAAATCATATAAAGACGAAAAATATATTTAACCTAATTATCTACTAAGTATATTATATCATTTATCATGTTGATAATACTATATAATGTACGAATTAAGATTTTATTAATTTAAGAGTAAAAGGGTTTTTAATTAAGTAAAATTTGAAATTTTACCCTTTTGAATAAATAAATGAGGTTTATTTAAGTAAAGTTTGATATTTTACATTATAGTGATCTAGAGAGGAAGACTTCAATTCAATCAAAATTTGAATTTAAAGAAAGTTTCTCTTTTTCCTTTTATTGGATGGATGAAGTGTACGTACAGTTTTTGACTTTTGCATGAGTTATGAGGTTGGTAGCATTTAGTGATTGATGGATAAAGATGAATCTTAACTAGTATAAGATCTTGATGATGTAATTAATTTATTGGTTAATTAGCATATTTTGTGAGCAAGTTCAAAATACTCGTGTAATTTGGAAATTATAGAAAATTTTCACCTCGAACACCCTATTTATCACTTAAAAAAGAACATTAAAACAATTTTTTTATGATCGAAATTCATCACAAAATTATATAAAATTCACTATAAAATTATTGTGACAAACGGTGTAGTGACCACCCAAATCAGCACAAAATTTTGACATTTTCAGCTCGATCACAAATTGTGATAGAATACATACCATCACAAACTCATTAAACATTTTCACAAATATTTCCTGTCACAAAATTCAACTTGCTTATTATTGTTTAAACGAATAGTACTTAAGCTTGCATTCAAGCGAACATTGAATATGCAAGTTCGTTCATTAGTTCAAAATGTCTTTGAAGTTATTTAAGCGAGATCCGCTTAATTGGTAATATTGTCGCTTAAGTGACATTGCTTAAACCATTTTTACTTCGTCTAAGTTAACACCACTCCATCACAGAGGGAATGACTTAAGCAACCATCACTTAAGCGAAGTAATGGTTGCTAAGTGATGGTAGCTTCAACCCAATATTTTCACGTTGAAGCAAAGGTCGCTCAAGTTAAGTGTGAGTGACTTAAGCGAGTGTTACTTAAGTGACATTTGGTCCAATATTTTTAGGTTTAAGCCAATATAATTATAAATAAAAATATAAAAATTATAAACAAAAATTAACATGAAAGGTAAAAAAATTACACATGTTAAAACGATATAATAAATATAAAATAATAATATTACATAAATTGTTCAAAAACATGAAAATAAAAAAACATAATAGTATGAAGGGTATACAACTAAGAATGAATCAGTAATCATTATCATCTAATTCTTCGTCATTTTTTGTTGGATTTGTGCAGCAGATTAGACTTCTAGAACTTGAATTGATGGGAGAAATTGGACTGGTGTAGAAGACTGTGATTAAAATGATAACATAAACTGAATCATTTGTTCCTAGAACAAATATGACTCTTGCTGAGAAATCATTATCATTTCTTTCAAATTTATATTTTCTTCAGATAGGCCAATAACTAACATTTTTATTTCATCATATTCAAATGATGTTATCTGATTTGATGAATAACACTAAATTTTATATCTATTTGAGATAGTTCTTAAACCATATACTCGTCCTCTTCATCCATGCCTCCAACAACACTATAAAAGATGTCATCATGAGATGGATAACTAGACACAACATCATCTGATTCCTCTAAAACTCTATCGACAAGACAATATATGAAATAATAAGTAATAAAAAAAATTGAAAACTTATAACAATGTTTTTTGCTTTAGAAGACATTCATGCATTCCTTTAGAAATCTTGTGGATCTTTTGGAATAACTCCCAACAAGTTGGATTTATATTTGCAATTGGTGCTTGTTTATGAAGATAAACACAAATTAGAATGTAGTTGAAAAACACACACACACAACTATGAAAACAATTAAAATTACATACCAGATGTTTAAAATGTTTAGATTTAGGGATTGATCCACTTGTATGTAGTGAACACACACAACTATGAAAACAATTAAAATTACATACCAAATGTTTAAAATGTTCAGATTTAGGGATTGATCGACCTGTACATTATGAACCATCGAAAACATTCATATTTTGAATATTTGTTTCTACTCCATCATGTCAATTTCAATATTCTACCATTTGTGTTGTAATTGTTCTCTTATTGTAGTAGGAATATGATCTCTAACATCAATCCCACTTCGCACCCTATACATAACATTTGAATACTCTTTCAGATGCTTTTTTGCTCATATATGCAACAAATTTGGGCATCATATTTTGGCAACCACTTGTACTTCCTCTATATAACAAAGTTATTTATCACCACATCCTAGCCACATCTAGAGATTCACTCTTAACCTCCCTATATGTTTCTCAATTTTCTTCAAACTTCCCCTTTATTATCCTTATTAATTTCATGTGTGGGCTGAATAGGGGTTCAAACTTGTAAAATAAAATATTAGATAAAATTACATTAAAATTCATAAATAACAAATGAAATTAAATATTTTAAAGGTTCAAGTTTATTTACGTGTTTAATGGTCTTCATTGAATCCATTTGCGATCGTCAAGGTATAAATTCTCAATCTTAGGAGGTGAATGCATATGTGAAAATAATGAGAAACTTCATTTTCTTTGTTCTATTCTTGTCTTTTACTGTCCGGTTTGTGTGTTTATTATCTTTCCTTTTATCTCCAAAGTTTGATTATTCCTTGCTTGTTTCTTATAATTTCTTTGGTAAGTAGTGAAATTGTCCTTTGCTACTTCATTTTATTTGGTCAGCTCTTGGTTTATTGCTATAGTTGTTCATCTTTACTTGAAAGTGATTTGTTGATTCAAGTAAGAACCAAGTGAGAGTAAGAGAGGAAAAAGGCAAGAGAGTTACATTTGCTTAAAAGCTAATTTGAGTGTAAACACGAGTGGAACTATCATTGAGTGTAAACAGGTGAGAAGAGTGGTAAGGTCAATTCTTGTTATTGTTTATAATTTCATTTGAAGCATGGTAGGAGCAAGTGGTAGTGGTAATCCTCAACTTGATGGCACTCAAAGGTTATTAGTTGAGACTATGACTGCACAAATGCAAAAGATGATGAGAGAAAATAATGAGAAACTTTTTGGAAGAATTGAGCAACTAAAAAATCAAGTAAATAATGATGACAGTAGTGGAATGAAGATAGGAGGCGTGAAAGGAAAAGAAGAGATAATAGAAGGGGTCGTAGGGATAATAGAATTGAAGGAGTAAAACTGACTATTCCAACATTCCTTGGGAAAAGTGACCCAGAAGCATATTTAGATTGGGAGAAAAAAATTGAGCAGTTGTTTGTTTGTCATGATTATAGTGAAGAAAAGAAAGTGAAGGTTGCTGCAATGGGTTTTTTTGATTATGCTCTAATTTGGTGGGACCAATTTCAAAGATATAGAATAAGATATGACGAACCTAAGGTAGATACTTGGGTGGAGATGAGAAAGACTATGAGAAGGTGCTTTGTTCCTTCACATTATCAAAGTGATGTGCGAGACAAGTTGGTACGCCTCACCCAAGGGGGAAAGAGTGTTGATGAGTATTTTAAGGAGATGGAGATATGCATGATTAGAGTTAATGTGAATGAAGAGAGGGGAATAACAATGGCTCGTTTTGTGCAAGGGTTGAATCTTGACATTAGAGATGTGGTGGAATTGCACCGCTGTCTAGAGATAGAGGAAGTGGTACATTTAGCTACAAGGTAGAAGCACAACTTAAAAGAAAGGGAGTGAAGAAGAGTTCTTCTAATTTTAATTCTTCAAGTTGAAAGGAAAAGAGCAAGAAGGAGGGATGTTCTTCTTCTAACAATTCCAATGCAGGATTTCAAAAAACATATTCAAAGGCTAACAAGAGCTCAAAAAAATGTAGAAGTAGTGAGATAAAATGTTTCAAGTGCTTGGGAAGAGGCCACATAGTTTCAGAATGTCCTACTAAGAAAACAATGTTCCTTAAGGAAAATGGAGTCTACACTAGTGAATCCTCCAATTCTGAATGATCAAGTAAAGAAGAGAGTGAGAATGATGAAGAAATTATTCATGAGGGAGACTTGTTTATTGTTAGGAGGATGCTTGGAGGAATTGCAAAGGAAGATGAGGGGAGACAAAGAGAAAGCATATTCCATTCTAGGTGTTTCATTCAAGGAAAGGTGTGTTCATTGATCATAGATGGAGGGAGCTGCACCAAAGTGGTTAGCACCAGATTGGTGACAAAAATGAACTTGGAGACTAATCCTCATCCTAGGCCATGTAAATTACAATGGTTAAGTGAGGAAGGAGAGTTGAAAGTGGACAAGCAGGTTGAGATTGAATTCTCCATTGGAAGGTATACAGATAAGGTCCTTTGTGATGTAGTTCCTATGGAAGCTAGTCATATGTTGCTTGGAAGACCATGACAATTTGACAAAAAAAAACCCAACATGATAGTCACACCAACAAATACACATTTGCTCATGAAGACCGGAAAGTCACTCTTGTTCCCTTGTCATCTAGAGAGGTTTGTGCTGATCAAAATAAAATGAGAGAAAAAAGAGAGCAGGAAAGAAAAGAAACTACTAAGATAGATGAGAGAGAAAAAAATCAAAAAGAGATAAAAAAGAGAGTAAAAAGAGTGAAGAAAGAAATGAGAGAAAACAAGCCCTCTTTGTAAAAAGTGGAGAAGTAAGGAAGCATTTTTGGCAAGAAGATTCATGTATATTCTTTATAACAAGGAAATTGCTACATTGAGTACTGACATTCAACTCCAAGTGAAGTTATATCTATTTTGCAGGAGTTTTTAGATGTTTTTCCTGAAGAGATACCAGCAGGACTTCCACCATTAAGAGGAATTGAACACCAAATTGATTTTCTTCCAGGAGTTGCGTTGCCTAATAGACCAGCATACATAAGTAATCCCCAAGAAACCCAAGAAATCCAAAAAAAAGTCACTGAGTTGATGAATAAAGGTTGGGTAGAAGAGAGCTTGAGCCCTTGTGCTGTTCCAATAATTCTAGTTTCTAAAAAGGATGGAAGTTGGAGAATGTGCTCAGATTGTAGAGTTGTTAATAACATCACCATCAAGTACAGACATCTGATTCCCAGGTTAGATGATCTTCTTGATGAATGTATGGATCCTGCTACTTCTCTAAGATAGATTTGAAAAGCGGATATAATCAAATTAGGATTAGGGAAGGTGATGAATGGAAAACAACTTTTAAAACAAAGTATGGATTGTATGAGTGGAAAGTAATGCCATTTGGGTTAACAAATGCCCCTAGTACTTTCATGAGATTAATGAATCATGTGCTGAGAGTTTTCTTAGGGAAATTGGTGGTTGTTTAGTTTGATGACATTCTTGTATATAACAAAAATTTGGATGAGCATTTGCATTTTCATCATTTAAAATTTGTGTTGAATGTACTTAGAAAAGAAAGATTGTATGCTAATTTGGAAAAGTGCTCATTTTGCAAAGATCATGTTATGGAGTGCATGTAGATAAAGATAAAATAAAAGCAATTCATGAATGGCCAACTCCTACAAATGTAAGTGAAGTGAGAAGTTTTCATGGGTTAGCAAGTTTCTATAGGAGGTTTGTCAAAGATTTTAGTACCCTAGCTGCACCTCTTAATGAGCTGGTAAAGAAAAACGTTGCTTTTGAGTGGGGAGAGAAACAAGAAAAAGCTTTTGCTATCTTGAAAGAACGACTAACCAATGCTCCTATTCTAGCTTTGCCTAACTTTACTAAATCTTTTGAGCTTGAGTGTGATGCATCTGGGATAGGCATATGGGATGTGTTGATGCAAGATGGACATCCAATTGCATATTTAGTGAGAAACTAAATGGGACTACTTTGAACTATCCAACATATGACAAGGAATTGTATGCATTAGTTAGAGCATTGCAAGTATGGCAACATTATCTTCTGCCTAAAGAATTTTTCATTCATAGTGATCATGAATCTTTAAAGTATTTGAAAGGGCAGGGTAAGTTGAACAATAGACATGCCAAGTGGGTGGAGTTCCTTGAACAATTTCCATATGTAATCAAGCATAAAAGAGGTAAGTCCAATGTGGTTGTTGATGCCTTGTCACGCAGGTATGTTTTACTATCTACTCTTGAAACTAAGTTTCTTGGTTTTGAATTCATTAAAGAATTGTATGAGCATGATGCTGACTTCTATCATATCTTCACTCATGTTCTCATACTGCATCAGATGGGTATTTTAAACATGATGGATATTTGATGAAGGATAAAAGACTTTGTGTTCCTAAGAGTTCAATTAGGGAAGTTCTTGTTAATGAGGCACATGAAGGGGGTTTGATGGGACACTTTGGGGTGCAAAAGACATATGACATCTTGCATGAGCATTTTTACTGGCCTCATATGAAACATGATGCGCATACATTTTGTGAGAAGTGTATTGTTTGCAAGAAAGCTAAATCTAAGGTCATGCCACATGGTTTGTATACTCCATTACCTGTTCCAGAACATCCTTGGATTGACATTTCTATGGACTTTGTTTTAGGTTTACCTCAATCCAAAGGAGGAAGGGATTCAATTTTTGTGGTAGTTGATAGGTTTTCTAAAATGGCTCATTTCATACCTTATAGGAAAGTAGATGACACTTGTCATGTTGTTGATCTGTTTTTCAAGGAGGTGGTAAGATTGCATGGGTTGCCTAGAAGTATTGTAAGTGATCGAGATTCTAAATTTCTTAGTCACTTTTGGCGAACTTTGTGGGGTAAGATTGGTACTAAATTGTTATTTTCAACAACTTGTCATCCCCAAACTGATGGGCAAACTGAAGTGGTGAATAGAACTCTTTCTACTCTTCTTAGAGCTATCATTAAGAAAAATCTCAAAACTTGGGAGGAGTGTTTACCACATGTTGAATTTGCCTACAATAGGGTTGTGCATGGTACAACTCAACTGTCACCGTTTGAAATAGTTTATGGTTTTAATCCTTTAACACCTTTAGATTTTTTGCCTTTACCTAACAATTCTGATTTTAAAGATAAGTCTGGAAAAATTAAGGTTGAATATGTCAAGAAGTTGCATGAGAAAGTCAAGGCTAAAATTGAGAAGAAAGTTGAAGGATTTGCAAAATATGCAAATAAAAGAAGGAAAAACATAACATTCGAACCAGGTGACTGAGTGTGAGTGCATTTCAGGAAGGAGCGATTTCCTTCACAAAGGAAGTCAAAGCTTAAGCCAAGAGGGGATGGTCTATTTCAAGTATTGGCCAAGATAAATGATAATGTCTAGAAAATTTATTTGCCTGGTGAGTATAATATAAGTAATTCTTTTAATGTGGCTGATCTATCTCATTTTAATGTAGGTTAAAATTTACTTGATTTGGGGAAAAATGCTTCTCAAGAAGGAGGGAATGATGCAGACATCAAGACATAGACCCATGATGAAACAGAAGCCCAAGATCCAATAGAAGGCTTAGGAGGATCCTTGACAAGAGAAAGAACTAAAAGGACCCATGAATCCTTGGAGCAAATGGTGATTAATCTGATGGAAGCCCAATTGCGTGATGCAGCCCAATCCATGGAGGCCCAAATGGAGAAGAAAATGGTGGCCTGCATTGCTAATCTAGACTGAGGATAATGGACCTAATTATCAGACTTAGGCTTTTTATGTGTTTAACTTTAAAATTTAGTTATAATGATTTATTGTATTAAAAGATGTAAAATAACATAAGCCTAATTTGAACCCTAGATCTCAAGCTTAATTATACCTCATGTATCCACTGAGGCAAGTTACATATGCTTGAAATACTAGGAATTTAGTTTTCTTTTATGTGCTTCCAGAGGCGAAATAACTAGTTGTATTTATAATTTTGAAATTGAATGAAAATGGCAGAATGTTATTTTAGATTTGTTAGAGCGTGAGATAAACTCTCTACTAGGGTTCTTGCTTGAACCATCGATCTTATCAAGAATTGTTCTAGTTCTTGTGGCGATCAAACCGACTTATCAAACTTTCAATTTGTGGTGCCTTTGTTGTTATCGTTTTATCTTTCTTTTTGTAAGTCTTATTTTCCCAAAGTCGAATTTAGGCTATTTTGTTGTTTGTTTCCTGTTTTGGTTCTAATTAGGTCACACATGTATCTTACGAAATAGTAGGTCATTTTCAATGTTTAATATTCCAAAATCACAATTCAAAATGTCACTGTTTCTCTCGTTTTAATAACACTCAATTTCTAACCCTAAATAGATCCTTTATCCATTCTAGTAGGGAAAATCATATCAATATGGGATGATGTTACATGAGGACGATAGGTACATGCAAAACTAGGCGAAGACTAAGTTGTTGGTTGTGATGATGGAAGGGTAAAGTCAACTAAATTAACAAAAGAAAATATGTAAGTGGTCTGAGAATGAGAATGGATGATCCATAAATATGTGCAGTAGGAATGGGGGTGTCAAATGTGTAGTATATGATACAAGGGTGTACTAGAAGTTGATACATGACTAGAATGTGCAGTAGGGGGCGTCGTAACTCTACCTCTACTTCTTCCTCTATCCATAACGAAACTTTGTTCTTTATTATCCATATTATTTCTTAAGTATAAGTTGACAAAAAGATATATTTAAATGTATAGTTTCAAATAGAGATAAATTATCAAGACATAAATATATTAAAACATATAACATTACAATTAGGGGAAAATTGTCATAAATTAAATTTATAATACAACCTACAAAAATATTGCAAAATGTTTTTATGTATAAGAGTTTATATATAATCATCATCTTCATCCTTTTTTTTCTTCATCTTCACCTTTATTATCATCTTCATTCTCTTCTTCCTCATCATTATTTTCTTCTTTACTATTTGACATAAACTCTAAGTCATCTTCTTCCCAATCAACTTCCGTTTCCTCTGGCAATATTATCAACAAGGTGGTTAGACATGTTATCATTTGCAAGATGGAGTGGTCGTAGTTGTGAATTATCATCTTGGTATGTCACTTCCTGATGGAAAATTTCTTCCTCCTTCCACCAAATAGAGTGACCAAACACCCTACACCATAAATACCCAAGAGTAATTTAAATTCTTTTCCAAGTTTCTTATGAAACTTGACACTAACTCCTCCAAGGAAGATTCCTTGTGTAGGAGAGTTGGAGAAAAACTCCCAAGGACACTTGAAGACAAGCCCAATTTAAAGGAGATGGGGCTTGAAGGTGTTTCACTTAAAAAAGAGAGGACAAGATTCAAGTCTTGGCTACCACAAAAAGGAAAATTTCCTTCTCAAATCAGCCAAAATAATCCAAACACTCAAGGAGGTCTAAGCTTCAACTCTTGGTTGAAACATTTGAGAGTTTTTTAGTATATAAACACATAAATGTAATTAAAAGTAGGCAAGGTGGGACTTAAGCTAGAAAATTTGGTGAATAGCCTTTAGAAGCAAATTTAGTCCCACATCCCCTAGGTGAGTGAGCAAATGAGAGTGGAGCAATTATATATATAACCCCTTGTGTAGCTTTTTGGGTACATTTGAATGAAATCAAGCTTAATTTGTGAAACTTGCTCAATTAGTTTGTACCTCAAATTTGCTTGTCTTCAAGTGTCCATGGGAGTTCTTCCTCATACTCTCCTAAATAAGGAACCTTCATTGGAGGAGTTAATGCCAAGTTTCTTAAGAAACTTGGGGAAGAATTTTGATTACTCTAGGGTGTTCATAATGTAGGGTGTTCGGTCACACTACTTGGTGGAAGGAGGCCTATCAATTTGGATCAAAGCTAGGCATGAAGATCTATAAAAGATAAGTACCTTCATCTTTTCTTCTTTTTTTGTCTTTGAATTTTAGTCATGTATGCAATTGCTCGAGTCCCTTTTTGAGTCATATGCAGTTTGGTTTTGATGCATTTAAATTTTTATTACAATTGATTCATTGCTTAGTTTCTTTCTTGAATCAATTGTATGTTTAGGAATTTCTTTAAAATGTTGTATGAGTATCCATAAATTTTCTTACTTAGCTTTCAATTTTATAATCTTCCATGTTGTCTTAGATGTCATGTGTAGTCCTTTTATGTTCATAATTCCATAGATGTTGTCCCATATATGCTAGAAAATAAAATTGTTGAAGTATAAATATAGAAACAGAGTATGTACACCTTTAGGAACCGAACCATGTGTGTTGGCTTGTACTTTTGAGTTGTTCCTTGTGCTATTAGATCACTAGCAAATTCTAAACATAAATTTTGTTTTAAATATACAAGTTGTGTTAGTATTGTTTCCTTAATAATTGAAGTTGAATAAATTATTTGAATATTTTGGACTTAGACGCACCTATACCACATGGATTACTTGAAAATGATAAATTAAAAAGGCTTAGTCTCACAAAATGAAAAACAAACAAGTTGTGAATCGAAAATAAGATTGAGAAAAGAAATGGAAAAAGTCGAAACTTAGAAAGAGGAAATCATAAAGTATGTGTGCAACTCATGAATAAGTTTCACACTCCTTGGGCTAATAGTTGAATTGAAAAACTACATGTATAAAGAAGTGATTGGGAGTGTATAAGTCTTGTAAGATTCGGCCAAGTATAATAAAGTTGGTTTAAAATTGATTAAACTTGAGTCTTTGTTTTTGTAATCAATTATAGAACCATTCTTTAAGATTCTTTTGGGTACCTTCCTTTTAAATTTTGTCTAGTATTTCTTGCTTGTCTTTTATACCTTCTTAAGTTTGTCACATCTTATTCCAAACACTTGATTGTATCCATTCTTTGTTGAACTTTCCTATGTTTTTTATCCATGCATCTTGAGCACTTCAAGAACAATATAATCTTTTTTTCCTTTCCTTGTTCTTTGTAAGCTTACTTCTTCTTCTTCAAGGTAGTATCTTAGGTGTTATTAAGAAGATAAGAGAAGTGTTTTTAACAGGAGGCTTGGAGGTGCAAGAATCGGGTGCAAGAAGAGTGGAACACTTAACCAAGTGAAAACCCTACATTTGTTATGGAAAATTCTTCAAAATCTATCACAAAACAGCCTTGTAGTAGAAAATTTTTGTCATAAAATGGCTTTACTGCAGAATTTTCGTCACTATCTCTTTGTTGTAAATTTTGTCATAGATTTTTCCTTCTTATAATTTATTTGTTGTAGTTTTTACTTGTTAAGTGGAGTGTCTTGGGAAAATGCCTTTAGTACAATTCCATCTCCCATTATAAACTTTATAATAGTACAAGAGACTTCTTAAGTGTCACTTGGACTTTCACACTAGGATTTTTGTCTAGTTTACTTTGAGTTAAATTTTTTCAATTGGAATTTTATTTTTTCGTGACAAAATCTAGGTGAGTCATTAATCGATTAGTTGACCTTCGTTTGGTCTTAGGTGTCTGACATACACACACTTGAAAGTTTTTTTTTTTGTGAAAATCTTTTGTCACTTCATTTTTATATGAAAACCTTTCAAAAATTTTGTGAAAATATTTTATTGATATATAATGAGTGACTATTCTCATGCACCATTAAGTCATTCTAGTGTCGATAGAAGCTATCGAGGGTTTAGGGAAAGGTTGTCAGTTAGAGATAAACTTAGGTTTTTGGAAGAAAATATAGAAAAAAAATGAAGAAATAATGACTATGTTTGCCCAACTCTTAGATGGAAAAAATAAAAATAAAAATATAAGTGAGAGTTCTAGGAGAAGAGTAGAGCATCATGAGGAACCCCACTCATCATGCATGGAGGTTTATAGTAGTCATCACAATGATGATTACTATAACCCTCCCCACCTAGGCAACATACCTAGAGTAGAACATCATAAGGAACCTAAGGTAGACCTTTCTCCCTTTCATGGCAAGGATAATATTGAAGAGTATATATATTGGGAGATGAAGGTTGAGCAACTATTTGAGTGCCACAAGGTTAATGAGGAAAGAAGGGTGTTTATGGCAACTCTTAGCTTTCAAGGGCACAAAATGTATTGATGGACTTTCCTTATGCGTGATAGGAGGATTCATAACGAGCCCCAACTTAGGTATTATAATGAACTCCAAAGTGTCCTACGAAAAAGACACATACCCTCCTATTATGATAGGGAGTTGATGGATGTTAAGTGGTAAAAAGTTGATATAATTATGCCTTGAATTGTTATGAAACCACTTAACTTATGTTAATTCTAATCTATTTTTCTCCCAATATAGGATGAATTCGTGAATACCTTGATACAAGAGTAAGGAGCATAATTGTCAGCATAATTAGAGTAAAATTGAAAGAAAGAAGAGCGCTTAAGCGAATGAATAATGCGAGGCTCGACCCAAATTCTCTTATAAAAAGATAAGTTGTGTTTTGAGAAAAGCAAACAGTCTTAGAGGAGAGGAGGCACGACTACTGTTAGGGTTTTGTCTAATCTTCATCAACTCTTCGTTTCTTCATCAATTGGAGCATTGTAATGGCCAACATGAGTGGCTAACTTCATTCTCTTAGGATTCGGTGCACTTCTTTTGAACTCTTTTGTATCATGGTGATATTTTGAGATATTAATCTATGCTTTGATGTTGTTATTCTTATCCTTTATTCTTTTGAATGATTTATTCTTGAATGTTTGAGGTATGATTGTAAAATATATCTTGAACCCTAGATTACAGTAGGAATATTTGTTACGTTAATTTCCAGGAATGGAATGAATGTATCAAGTGCTTAAACACCCTAACCCTAATGCAGGAAAATCTCTTAATTGTGTGAGGAATCAACATTTATTAGGTTTTCTTATGAATTTCATGTGTGAGAAATCAACATGGATGATTTGAGTAGGTGACATTAACATTGTTAGGTTAATTGACGTTCTTAATTGATTTAGCCATTACAAAAGAGGGATAAGGAAGGAAGTCAATCCTAAGTACCTTTAATTGATATTTTCTCAACAATTTACAGCTCTTTGTCATTTTATTTCAATTCAACTCTTATTTGCAAAACCTAATCTGTTTTAATCTACTTAGTAAGCATAATTGGAAATTTCCATTGAAACTGTTTCTCGTGGGATCGACTTTTATTTTATCGAAATACTATACTGCGATTGATAATTTTGGTACGCTTGCCAATAATTCAACAAGTATTTCGGCGCCGTTGTCGGAGAACAGTGTTCTTTGATAATTCTTTGTTTAGCTTATTGAGTATTTTATTTTTATTTCTGTTTTTATTTTTATTTTTATTATTATTATTATTATTATCATTATTATTATTATCATTATTATTTTCATTATTATTATTATTATCATTATTATTATTATCATTATTATTATCATTATCATTATTATTATTATTATTATCATTATTATCATTATTATTATCATAATTATTATTATCATTATTATTATGATTATTATTATCATTATTATTATCATTATTATCATTATTATTATCATTATTATTATCATTATTATTATTATTATTATTATTATTATCATTATTATTATCATTATTATTATTATTATTATTATTATTATCATTATTATTATTATTATCATTATTATTATTATTATCATTATCATTATCATTATCATTATTACTATTACTATTACTATTATTATCATTATCACTATTACTATTACTATTACTATTACTATTATTATTATTATTATTATTATTATTTAGTATTTAGTTTGTGCTAATATTTGTTTGAGTTACTCTTTTGATTTATGCATTTAAGAGGACATGTATCTTCAGAGCAATTAGAATTTAATCCAGAGATTGAAAAAACAGCTCGGAGGAACTAGGGTAGAAGAAGAAGGGAAACTCAAGAACAATGTACAAGAGAATCTGATAAATCTTCTTTCACACTTGATTTATCAGACCCAATTATAGAAGATATGGTGGAAGAAGGAGCAAATCCAAATCCAAATCAAAACCCAAATTCAAATCCACCTAGAAGAACTCTTAGAAATTGTGCTATGCAGCAAGGTCCAAGGCATTTTTCCAGCATTGTCATTTCGGATAATCA